TCTGCAGGTTCCCACAATCTTTACAGGAGTAGAAAGCCTCATCTTTCTTCCACAGAGCAGCTGGTGGCTTTGAACTGTTGATCTTGTGGCAAGCAGCCCAACACATAACCACTATGTCACCACCCATCTGAGATAAGGAGGGCATCGTCAACTCAAGGACCGATTCGGAGGGGCTGGGAAAGAAGGGGAGCCTGGGTGGCCTGTGGGCGGCTAACCACATGGTCAGCAGGCGGAAACCACCAGCCACTCCGTGGGGGAAAGTTGAGGCCGTCTATTCCCAGTCAAGAGTTACAGTCTTGGAAACCCACAGGGGCGGTGCTACCCTGCGCGAGGGGGTCGCTATGAGCCAGAATCAACTTGACGGTGGTGAGTTTGGGTGAGGAAAGAAGCAGCCATGGGGTTTACAAGTTATGTTGCTAACCGCAAGGTCATCAATTCAAAACCACCAGCTGCTCCTCAGGAGAAAAATGAGGCTTTCTACTCCTGTAAAGATTGTGGGAACTCACAGGGGCAGGTCTAGTCTGACCAATGGGGTCTCGGCAAGTCAGAATCAACTTGGGGACAGCGTTTGGTTTGGGTTTGAGGACAGGAGGGGGAATGGAAGTGGGAGACACAGGGGGGAAGTGGGGTGAATGAGGGGTCATGGTGGCACCTGCCATCAGAGACGTGAAACAAAGCAGGTTGGACCATGCTGGGAAAGTGTGACCCTTCACCTAAAGTTCACAGTAGGATTGACAGCCTGCCCTCCTGCCACATTCTCCCATGCTGGCGCCTGTCCCGAGTTGAGGACAGAGTGCCCACTGCTGCTCATGCCTTAACACCAGACTCCTCATGCGCCAAGTGCCCATCTCAGTCCCAATCTCAAGTACCAATGGGACCTTCCAGAGCCCAGGCAGCTCTTGGCCAAGTGCTGCAGCTTACTTGCCACCTGAGGACTCACCCCCTAGTGGGCACTGCCCCTGTGGGGGATACCCCAGACCCTCGGGGATGCAGGCTGCTCAGAGCAGCCTCTCCAGCCAATGTGGGGAGAACCTGGCAGCTCCCCGCCCACAACATCAAGTTCATGCTCAGGAAGAGGAGGGAGTAGAGGGGGTGGGGGGATGCGGTGTCCTCCCCCTTTGCTCTCAGAGCTTCTGTTTCAGAAACGGAATGCCCGGGGCACGGCTACAGCAGTGGGGGTGGAATTCCAGGCAGTTCTCCGCTGTTCTCTGAGCAAACAGGGGCTTCAACACCACTGATGGGGAGATAAGCGGCTGTCAGCACCCTTTCTCTGCCTGCCGCCCAGCGATGACACCACAGTTATGTCTCCTGGGAGTGCCCATGACCGAGTTCAACTCCTGGCAAAGATGTGGGGTCACCACATTCAGGTGCCAGCAGTGCCCTCCCTCCTGGGCAGTGTGCGCCGGGGGTCCTGAATCCAGAGACTTCCCCTGCCCCTGGACATATATGTACACACACACACATGTGCACATGTAGTATGCCACACAGATACATAAGCACACACTCTACATATATGCATGTGTGTATATACAGTGTACTATACAGATACATAAGCACATATCATATACGATACAGATACACATGCATGGCATACATAGTCCACAAACATGTGCATATATAACGTACTATATGGATACACACAGGCACAGATAGTATACACCTGCATGTACACATATAGTGTATTAGGCTGCTACACATGTATATATACATATAGTGCATTAGACAGACACACATACATGAGCGCATACAGAATATGGTGCACACATACATACATGGGCACATATAGTACACACAGGCTTGTGCATATATAGTGTCCTAGACAGATACACATACATGTGCACACATAGCACATTATGCAGATACACATGCACATATAATCAAGTGTATAGTGATGATATAGTGTATATTGCACTATACAGGTACACATTTAAAATTCACTGCCATTGAGTAGATTTTGACTCACAGTGACCCTGTAGGACAGGCTAGAACTGCCCTGAGGGTTTCTCAGACTGTAACTCTTCCCAGGAGTAGAAAGCCCCATCTTTCTCCTGTGGGGTGGCCGGTGGTTTTGAAACTGCAGACCTTTCAGATAGCAGCCCAACGCATAACCACTACACGTGGGCACAATGAGTATACACACACATATGTGCACATATGGTATATATTATACACGTACATATACACAAGCACATATCATACACTATACATATATACCTGGACACACATTAAACACACATAGCATACACACATCCAGGTGCATATATATTGTACTAGACAGGTACACACACGGGCACATACAGTGAATCCATCTCCCTCACTCACCGCCATTGAGTTAATACCAACTCATAGTGACCCTATAGGACCAGGTAGTACTGCCCCTGTGAGTTTCCAAGACTGTGACTCTCTCCGAGAGTAGAAAGCCCCATCTTTCTCCAAAAGTATACCCATATATGCATATAAAGTATACTGTACGTGCACACATTATATACACAGACACATCTGGTACACCACAAAGATCCACATGCACATATAATGGAACGTTGAAGACCTGGAGTTAGAAATCCCAGAGGGAAGAACATGCTTGGCACATCTTAAGCTGACTGAACTGAGGAAACAATTCAAGCCTCGAACTGCCACACTGAAGGATTCTATGGGTAGGAGATAAGCTCTGATACTGCTGTTGGGTGAGCGTTGGGCTGCTAAGCACAAGGTGGGCAGTTCAAACCCACCAGCCACTTCCAAGGAGAAAGACGAGGCTGTCTGCTTTCATAAAGATTTACAGTCTCAGAAACGCGATGTGAGGCTGCTCTGAGTTAGAATGGACCCGACAGCAGTAGGGTTTCTTGTTTATGGTTAAGATATTGCGTAGCACACAAAGCATCAAAAGAAAATGGAAGGAATACAGAGTCATGGTAACAAAAGGAATTGGCTGACAAACAGGAGTCCGCGTGTGAAGGAGAACGGGTGTATGACAGGAAGGAGCCCAAGCTACAATGAAGGCCTTGACAGAGTAACAATGGAGACGTTTCAACCAACAGATGCAGCTCTGCAAGGAAGTACTTCTTGTCTGTGCCAATGAATCTGGAAGACAGCTACCTGCCCAACTGACTGGAAGAGATCCCCACCTGTGCGACTGTTCCCAAGAAAGGAGGTCTAGCAAAATTATCAGGCAATACCATTAGTATCACATGCAATTATATTATGCGTAATTATGCGAAAGAGAATGAAAAACCAGCTGCATCAACAGGGAATTGCCAGATATTCAAGCTGGATTCCGTAGAGGCTGTGGGACGAGAGCTGACATCAGATGGATCCTGGCTGAAAGCGGAGAGTATAGAAAGATCCTGGCCTGGGTTTTAGGGACTATGCAGAGGCATTCAACTCTGCATGCCAACAACATAATGGGTAACAGCTTGAAGAAAGGGAAATCCAGACCGCTTGACTGTGCTCACGCAGAACCTGTACACAGACCAAGAGGCAGCTGTTTGAACAGAACAGTGGAAGCTGCACGGCTCAGGATCAGAAAAGGTGTGCATCGGGGTTGTGCCTTGTCACCACACTTATTCGTGCCAACAAATCATCTCGGAAGCTAGACCACACAAAGAACGCAGCATCGGGATTGGAGGAGACTCTTTAGCCACCTGGAATGGAGCCCCGGGGGCACAGCGGTTACGCGCTGGGCTGCTAGCCACATGGTCAGCAGTTCAAAATCCCCAGCTGCTCCTCGGAAGAAAGGCGAAGCGTTCTACCCTCATGAAGAGTGACAGTCTCAGAAACCCGCAGGGACAGTTCTACCCTGTGCTAAGGGGTTGCTTAGGAGTCAGGATGGACTCTGGGGCAGTGAGTTCAGCTGGCTGGAGTGCGTAGATGTCCTGCAGCCTTTGCTGGAGAAGCGCACAATCGACAGCCTTCAGTGCGGCTTACACTTCAACATCGAGGTGACCCGAATCCTACAACTGGACCAACAAGCAGCGTCATGCTAAAAGGAGGCAAGAGTGAAGTTGTCCAGCTTGTGAGTTACTTGACTCCCCCATCAATGTCCACGGCAACAGCAAGCAAGAAGTCCAGAGATGCACTGCAGTGGGTCACTCGGCTGCACCAGCCCTCTTCTTAAAGTGATGAGGAGCAGAGATGTCGCT